TATTGTATTCAGGTCCATATGTATCCATACACCTCTTTGTGACACTGCAAACATTAGCCATATTTGTCATGCTGAAATATTTAAGGCAGGTAGTGGCAAATGTCTTGTTGATGAAGGCAAATGAACCAAAAGCATGACATACATTTTAATAAGACATCCAGCACGTGGCTTATCGCAACACAGGTGGAGCTCAGCGGGGACAGCCTCTTCTCTCCTGAGTTCTCACCCTGAGCACATTAGAGTTAATTGGAAACTCCCGCTCTCAGCGTTGACTTCCCCACTGAAACCAATTTAACCCTTTGACCTGCAGGGCTGCGTCAGGGAGCGCGACACCAGCGAGAGAGGAGAGCTGTTGGTGTAATGACTCAGAGTGAATCATGGTCAGTTTCTCCACAGGAAGTCAAAGCCATGGCTCATATCCGGGGTTCACTTGTGCCGGTGTTTGCCTGATCTCTGGGGCTCTGGTGTCAGGTGACCCAAGACGTCCGAGGTTACAGCCTCATACTCGTATGATTGAAACTGTTAGGCCTCGGGCGCATCAGAAAGCTCTCCATTTTCATTTCAATTACTGTTGCCGATGATAAAACTCAGATCGGGCCATGACATTGGCTCTGCTGCTAATCACGAGAAAGAGATGTTTCCAATTAATATGCTGGCTGGCTTTACTACTAGACAGAGTCTGCATCAAAGCAATTATTACTAGTAATTTGATAATATATAACAGAGTTGTTGTTAGGTCAGTTAATTACTTTTATTGATCTCAACTAGCAGTAGTCTCCCTAATGCCTTTTTTTATTAAGTATGAATATATTTGTATCATCAACCAATCTCTATACATCAATGCATATGAATTCAAAATGTAATACTGTCTGCTTCTTTAATATCACACAGGTCGTAACACAGACTTCATTAAAAAGATGCAGCTGCAAAGTTTTGAATATTGAGTGTACAGGTATGCATTTCATTATTCAAATCTGTGCTCTCTACTCACATACAGTACTGCATTTTGCACACATGAATAAACATTACCAGTTGATCCAGTCTATACGCAACTAACCCCCTGCCACCCACACTCATTTAAAATGAGCTGTGAGCTGGGATATTCTATTATTTATTCTATAGCGATGAATTATAGGAAAGCATTGTAGCAGTATATGAATAGGCGGGGGCTGACAAATCTTTCAAAACAATCAGAAACAACAGAAGACTTTATTGCAGACGGATCCCTTTTCGTTTTTTTTTGCCATCATTTTCCTCACAATCAAATCAAGAAATATCACGCTGTGTTTCGTTTACAACATGCATCCAGTGCTAAATCATCTACAAACATGGGGAATTATTAGTAAGTTCAGTAAGCGGAGAGCGTTTGCCTTCATTAAAAATGTGCTGTGTCACCTAAAAGACTGAAGTAAAGTAAAACTAAGAAAAAAAAAACGTATTTGCAGCATTTCTGCATTAACAAGAAGGATAATGATACACACATTTGCATGAAAGTCACAGTAAGAAAAATAGCTTTATGCTGATTATACAGTTTACGCTCATGAATTATTGTTTTTGTAGCTAATGAGTGAATTTAAAAACGCTTGTGCAAAATCTGCAACCATGTTAGATCCCCAACACTATAACACATTTCAGGAATATACTAATGTGCTGTCCGACCTCTTTCTGCTCTAATATAAATGAGTTCCCAATTAAATAAATCATCCGCTTGTTTTGTTAGTTGTTATTTATCTCCTCTGCCTGGTATTAAATTATATAAATACACATTCGATCTTTAGCACACAGAGCTGCATAATTCAGATAGGAGTGTTGTGGTGTAACTGCATTATGTAAAAGCCCAACATTGAGAAGAGATGAATTGTAGTTGCGCTACACGATTGGTTTCCTGGATAGAGGAACCTCAACGTCTGTTTGTGGCAGCTACAGTTTATTTTGGGTTCTCAAGAATCCGCTCCACTGATGAACAGATTGCCTCTGGCTTGGTTTTTAAGCCTTTGTAGGGTTGAACAGTATGAATGGTGTTTATGGGACACTTTCCCTAATTTCTTAATAATCTTAAGATTTGTTGTAGCTTTGAATGGGCAGAATCAAAGACAGGTCATCATTAAGCTGTGTAGTGGTACGGTGAAAATTACCACTATTGATATGTCATTATAAACCAGTTTGCTTGTGAATTATTTTCCACATATTTTAAAATGTCACAGGAGAAAAAACCTTGTTTATAAAACAATTACACAAGCAGCCGTTACCCCGGTAACCCGGTGTTTGGGACGGAGACACCAAGTGAAAGACTGTCAGGAACGGACGGTTTTGAGGCAGCTATGAGCGGAGCGAGAAGTTTGGACACGCCTGTTGATGTGCAGAATAATTAATCAAAATGACACGTTTGATGTGTGCACAACCACTGGGGGTTCTGTGGTTACTTTCACCCAGTCTGTCGCTCGTTGCACAATATTTAATGCATCTGCTGAGCCTAATTGTGGCCTGACAGTGCTGCAGGAATAAATTAGCAGATTTGCACTTCCCTAGTCTTAAAGTCAATGGATTTAGACGCCTAATAATATCTGTGGTTAACACAGGCTGTACCGTTTTGTTCAACATACTTTTTGAATAATTTAAATAATGCATTTGTTTCAGATATTGTCCAGTTTTGCTAAAGCTGACAATGAGGTTTCCTGTTTTGCATTATGTTGATAACATTTTTCCCAGCATTACATTGCTCACAAGTTGCTTATTAATGAGATACCTTGTGGACATGTGTTTATCATAAATATCTCAAAAAGAAAATAGAAAGTAACAGAACCAAATGTGTAACTGTAGAATCTAGTTGGCACTTGTTTTTTTACAGATTTAAATTTGTGATGTAAAGCCAATTTATCCTCAGCAGCAAAACATCTCCCGCACAGCCACGTTAGAAAGCGAGCTCAATCCCACAAAGCCACAACTGGCCTTACTCCAGATGAAAATATGCTGCTACCAGACTTCCTACATGTCTCATTTGGAAGGTGCATCATACCGAGGTGGTGATTAGAAACACCTTGGGCTCCTATTCAAAAGGAATAAGGAAGAGCGCATACCTTTTGTATACAATGAAGAGGTTGTCAGAGGTTACAGCTAGAATATAACGATCCTTAGCTCCTACGTACCAAGAGACACACTAATCTGTTTTTGTGCATGACGAAAAAAATCACAGTCCAAAATATATTTGAGTCATCTCAAGAAGAAATAAGTTACTATGTACATCATTCTGTCTGTTTTTAGGAAGGAAAAATAGCCCATGACTCTGGACTTTTCATCTGAAGAGGAGAGTATTTTAACTTGCCATACATATAATAAACAACAACAATCTAGATGTGGGCAGCTTATTCACTAGTAAACACCAAGCCTTATAAATATTTCATATTTTCCTTTCTCTGCTTTAACACCTGTTCTAGCGAGCACTTCGTGGTACAGTAACGCCTCCGTGTGCTTTTCATATTTCAAAAGAGATCCCCCTTAATACCAGGCGATGTTGTCAAGAAAGAAATTTCATTTCATGTTCAGCATCTCATGTTGGCCTGTTTTATTACTGAAATTGTTTTATGATTCCTATATCATAGGAATGAACAACCTAAGTTTAGGTGCAGTGCTGCAATCCTGAATAGTCAAGGAGAGGTTGCCATGGAAACAGAGTTACATTGGCCAGAAATGAAAGCGTCTGAGGATTTAGACTTTCACTGTACATACATTTTTAACCACAGATTGTTTCGACATCAGCCTCCGAGCAGAAATGTCTGTAAAGTAAAACTGTAAGTATAACAATCCCACAACATGAAACCCCACCATTGTAATTCAAACTGAGATTTTGACTCTTACATATGATACAGTGACTCATCTGTGACAGTAATAATATTAATACCTGCCAACAATATAATGATAACTCTGAATATGCTTACATATAAAAACCAAAGCACAGTAGCACGATTACAATTACTCATAAAAACATGCTGACTGGGAATGATTTGAATTAAAACATGTTCAAACAGTGATCAGCCAAATGTTGTTGAATATACCTCATCTAACGCTATGCCCAGAATGTATTGATACTGTATACTGTAATTATCATCAATGTGCGCATGCTTAAGAATGTATCAAGTCGTATCCGAGTGACATAACTGATGCCTGTCGTAAACTGAAGAATCAGGATGTCAGATACTTCTCAGCTAAAGAGAGACTTTAATAAACTACACTAAATGATCTATTAGGAACTGAGTATCTCTGTTAATTGCTGCCTGCAGTGTCAGCCTCCCTGTCACATCTCCATATGCTGTTTTCCTCCGAACCAGCCTATCAGAACGGCTCCTCTGTTCACTTTAAGACACCGAAGGGGGTCTCCTCACACTACATCAGCTGTGTCAAATAAACGGTTGAATTCAAAATGACCAGAGCGGTGAATTTTACTCAAGGCATAACTCATCCTGTGGAAATGGAATTCCCTAATTCCAAAGGGACCTTAGAAAGCAAATTAGTATCCCCTCTGAGAATACCCGCCACCAGGTAAGTGCTATACCGGCACAAAGGCATAAGAATGGAAATGTTTCGGATGAGAAAAATAAAATATACATAACCTTTAACTGACCCTGCTGGAGTTTGAAAGTGTTCAATGGCTCCTTTTTAACTTAAAACTTGGCTCTCTTTTTTTAAAAACCCAGAAGGTGTTTTACTGTATGGATTTCAAACAATTATCTTTGATGGATTATGCTAACACTGCCATTACAACCTTGTCGCAGAAGCACAAATCAATAAAATGCAATAAAGGGGTCAATATCAAGTCTTTGGATGTCAGCTATTAACACCTATGATAGAGCTCAATATTATTTATGAGATGTGTTGCAGGAATAGATATTGAAGCAGCTCAAAAATATCTTCAGCAATTGTGCATTTAGCCTGCGGCCACAACATGCAGGATAACAAGCTCACATTTCCAACAGCAGGCCTGTAATTAAAATCCATGTTGGTGGTTACTCACCTGTAGTCTCTACTATTCCTTCTAGTATCACCACAATTTCAAACTGCTCCGTTTGCATGGACCTTTGGGAGAGGTCGTAGAAGGGGCTTTTGGTGTCAATCACATGGCAGATCGTGAGTGGTGAGACGAGGAAGAGCTGGTCTGCCCCAGTGCTGAAACCCACGTCCAGCTCCAACTGATCCAGCGGAAGAAACTCGCCCTCGGGCGTCTGGCGAGACTAAGGAAGCGTACAGGAAGAGACAGAGACAGAGATGTTTGGTGGGGGAAGGAAGGGGAAAGACAGACTTATCTACAGCACATCAAGAGCCTTTGGTGGAGCTGTTCACATTGTATATGCAATCTGAGGAACCAATCATCAGTCTCATCAGAACGGAAAAAATTGCTATACGTTTTTCAAATGAAATCTAAAGAGGCATCTATACAGCAAGAACATATATCAGCATGTTATGTGATGTAACGCTGGGACCTAAAATGTGTCATATTTTAAACAAAACACAACATCAACTGGTTTAATTTATTTCTTGATACTGCTGGACTAGCCTTATACTCAGCAGCTCTGTTAGGACGTAAACTACAATCTTTATGAGAAAATAAAATAATAATTTGCTAAAATGGCTACAGTATTTGGTCAACCGATTGTATACTTACCTTGAACTTTGTGAGAGCTTACATTTAATCCCTACTGCATATGAAAGCATGATAATTGGTGAATCTTTGTTTTGTAAAGCATTACAAAAAAATAACTTATAGATTTATGATTGACGTTTTAATAACCAGGTGTTGGACAGCAGGGTTAACCATACATTTAATTATTCTAATAAGGCACAGCAGCCAGTTACCCAAGATTGTAACACACTGTCACTTTTAAACAGTTTAAAATAATTGTATGAACAAAAGGTTCTTCTCAAGATCTGGTAAAGGGACATTAAGACCTCTTGGCATATTTAATGGATTATATTCTGCAATTAGTTATGCAAAATATGCACATTGTAAAAATGAATAAGTGGTCTTCTGTGCTTTGGTCAAGCATAGGTAATGGTCTATCTTTTGTATCATTGTGGTCTATGAAGCTTTGTCTGATAAATGCATCATGACTTCCTGTTAGAGCAGGTTTAAATGCCAGTGTGTAGGCCTTTAAGCATCAGTTTTCTAAAAATAAAAAACATGGACTTGGCCATGACAAACAATTGGAATAGAACTACATTCGCTGCCGGCCAACTAAATGTAGCATGACTTACTTTCAGCAATTTGCAGCGGATCTGTGCAGAAACCATATGGCTGTTACGCAGGTTGCCGACCCTGAACATGAGAGTTAGTTTTCCATCTCGCATAGATATGGCAGCATGTTCACTAAACATCAAAGTCTCGGCCCTTTTCTTTGGCTGAGACATCTTGATAAACATGCAGCCGATCAAGAAGGCATCGACGATCGATCCGAGGATCGACTGGAAAAGAAAGAGAATGATCCCCTCGGGACATTTGTCTGTGATGTATCTGTAGCCATATCCTATCGTGGCCTCGGTCTCTATGAAGAAGAGAAAGGCTGAGGGAAAGTTATAGACATTGGCCACACATGGAGTGTACTTGTCATTGTGGGCTCTATTGAGGTCTCCTCGGATGTATGCGATGCACCACCACATAGAGGCCATGAAGAGCCAAGCGACTGTGTAGGTGAGGATGAAAATAAATAGATTCCAGCGCCATTTCAGATCTACTAGTGTTGTGAATAAGTCTGAGAGGTATCTGCTGGTTTCACCACCCAGGTTCCCATGCTGGACGTTACATCGCCCGTTCTTGTCCACGAACCGCTGCCTCTTCCTCTTTTTCTCTGGGGGAGGCTGATTGAATCCAGACCCGCTAGATGAGGTGTTCACTACCTGATAATCGTCCCCAAATTTCTTTCGGAGTGCAGACATACTACGATGACAGCAGCGAAAGAAACAACAAAGGATTCAATGATATAAAAAAAAGTCTGGGTTGTAGGCGAGTTGCTGCAGTCGTTATTGCCCGTGCGCAATGTCTCCTCTTTGGAAATAAGGCGATAAAAGTGCGCTGTTTTCTCCCCGGTTAGTCTTGCACCGTCCTTTTTCGCCACACGCTACTGTTGCTACACTCTACAGCCATGAAATATCAATATTATATGAGTAGTTTACGAACCCCGAAAAATAAGCCATATGCAAAAAAAATAGGCGACGCACGGGATAAGGTATCCAAACGCGCCAGTCGCAGTCCAGGTTGTACAGGTTTATCAGTTGCTGCGTCGTGGATTACTCATCGCCCGTGAAGGTTGGGGCTATATCGACCTGATCAAAACTGTACTCACAGAGTAAGTTTTCACTTGAAAGTTCAAAATCCTTAAACGGCCCATAAAACAGCAATATCTCTGCGTAATTATTCTCTGAAAACTGTTCCCAGGATGAAACGTCTCCGTGCGCACTTGCGTCTGTGTTGGAGATTGTTCGGTTTCCAGCACTTCCTTTTTGATCTGTATACATAGGAGAGGAATTGCATCCAAGCATATGAGTGTAAAAAATGACGAGATGGAGGAAGAAAATCACTGTCCCACTGTCGTCATTTTTGGCTGCGCGCATCGACGCTGTTTGCCAGGCTCTTTTCAGGCACCTTTTCCGTTCTCTTAGTTAAATGTCGGCTGGATTCTCATGGTTCAATGGTAGAGATCCACCAGATGCTCCTTTGGCTGCTTAGATCCTTCTTTCCTGTCGATTTGTGAGCGGTTCCTGCGCACTTCCACGTTTCCAGTTATGCACTCACTGTTGCCTAGTGGTACAACAGTAAAAAGACAGACAATTTGGAGGAGGAGGGAAAGGGTTCGCCTGATTTGACAGTTTTTGATGATCAAATATGTTGAACTGCAGCCAATGTCATGATTGCTTTCAACTAATGACACTGGACACCACATTTAGCTTTTAACAAGACAATAAACAGGCATCTGACTATGTGTTGCATTATCAAATAAAGACAATTATAAAAACGGTAATAATACAAATAATAGAGCCATGTGGTGGATGTGCAAAATAGTGTATTTTAAACCTTTATCACAATGTTGCAATGCCACTGCTTTGATGCATCCTAATTTAATAATTTTGAACATATGTATTTCTATTATTCCCCTTTTATCGTCTCCAATTCAGTTCAAACAAAGTCTTTCCATCTGTAGTGGACATTTATAAATGCACCTTTGTTTACCAGCTGTCTTTGACACCTGTTCTAACAGCCTCTGATGATGACCCCGCTTTCATCCCATGGGTGACTTCACCTTCTTTGCGGAATGACACATACAAAAATATCTTAACAGAGCAACAAGTGCTGCAGGAATGCTGCTGACATTCAAACTGTATGAAATCTCAGGGGGGACAAAGAGCTGCAACAAGGATACATCGCAAAATTCACTCGTCGCATTACCGAGATCATGGCCACGGAGGAATACACCCACACCATAGTTACCCAGCCTCACACGCTGTCTCTCAGACACACGAGGTAGGAGGAGCAACATACCACCACCTCTTTCCCTCAGTCTCTCCACACCCCTTTGCAATTATCTTTCTTTCCATTACATCGAGATGTAATTTGGATAGGCATTATGTCTCCCTGATAAAGGCACAATTACCAACCAATCACAAAGACACTAATGACTGCAGCTTTGAAATTCAAAATCTATTTTATTTAAATATTTTTGGCGGTCAGTTTTGAACAAGGTGTCTAAGCAACCGAGCAGTTTTGGGGGTACATCTGGGTAATTATCTTTGGATAAAGAGTACATTCAGGGGACAAAGAAATACATGAAACACCCTTACTTCTGAATCAACTCGCCCATACATGTTACTTGCATCATACACAATGTCATGTGAATATACTTCATACATATTTACACTCTGCTGTCATGTCGTGGGGCATCTGCTGATTTTTTACAAGATACACTGTTAATGTCTACCGCAGTTCGTTGATATTTTCCCAACCGTTTTGGGATCCATTGTCTGAGCTCATAGGGATCAATATGCTGTTGAGTCACTCTATTCCAGGCACAATCTACCTCTCCTATTATCCTGCAGCTCCCTGTGGTTTATCCCATTATGGTATTCCATAACCAGTCTAAGCCCGGTATGCTGTACTGTACAAATGGTATAGCTTCTAAAAAATGACACCAAGGCCTGACATAACCGTTTCCAAATGAGCGCTTACATGTCAGTGCTGTGCAACGTTGATGTGCCTCCAACTGTTGTCTGCGAGGCACTGTGGTTCAGTCCTATGGAGGGGGAAGGCAGGGAAAGATTTCCCCATCAGCAGGCCGTCATAATTGCCAGGTGAACATTAGCTTCTGCAGGCCTCTGTGCTTTTATAATAAGTGAAGAGTAACACAGGTCACCCTCCATGCATTCTGGCCCTCATTAGGAGGAAAAGGCTATTCACATATTTGCAGAGAAAAAATAAGGCTATTAGTTTGGACTGGTTACCCAGGCTCACACGCTGTCTCTCAGACACACGAGGCAGGAGGAGCAACCACCACCTCTTTCTAGCCAGCCAGCACAGATTTTTTAATTGCTGTATTTCAGAGATATAGTCATCGAAACAAAAGTTTCCCCCACAACTTGAAAATTGCAATTAACTTCTAAGAAAACAGTGGAGTGTGTGAAGACACTATCTTATGCATATGTCTAGTTTTCTTCAGTCTGAATGTCCCTAAAACTTTAAATCAAAGTTTTTTTTAATAACAAATATTTTTGAATGAACAAAAACAACTATTTGTTCAAACAAACAAACATCATGCTATTTCAACACTCAAAATGTCAGCTAATTGGATTACTTGCCTCTTGATATTACATTGGACTGAGAGTGACCAAACGATCCACCAATGCCAATAGCTTCTAATAGCTCAATCCTGATTGGAGCACAGAGAAAAATAGAAATCTGTTGTTAAAAAAATATATATACCCAATGCTTTTACCTTAATGGAGTAATCTGTTGATTGCGTGTGAAAGATAATAGTTATCGTAATGATTTCTTTCTTCAGTAATTGATTACTGTTCTCATATAAAATGTCAGTAAAGGGTAAAGATACCCATTGCTTCTAAAAGCAGTGTGTGCCCCCCTAAAAATGTGTAAGTAGAAGATGTTCGCCACAGGAAGAGGAGGATGTTTAAATGAGTAAACAAACATGTGTTCAAATGTGTGATCATGTTGGACCCAATCGTGGTAACGGAAAACAAAATATAAGTCCGTCATTTGATACAAAAGCAAAATATGTGCAACAGACCTGGTTGCAAAATAAATGAATGTTTGTTTATTTTATTTTCAAGCCTAGTTTTTTCATGATTTATAAAGTAAAATATACCATACACTAAACAACAACATCAGATCAGCATAAGGAACCCTTATACAAACCATTAATCAAAAACTCTCATCCCCACAGAAACACGTTTGTAAGTCTGCTCCACACACAGACTTTGTCACTGACAGCTGAATACAAGAAAGAGGTTAGGGTCCGGTCATGTTCTTGTCACATACCAGGAGGCAGCTGATGTGTAACACGGTGCACTAAATTGAAATATATGCAGATTAGTTCTTATTTTCTAGCAGCTACATTTGAAAGAGCAGTACATTTTATTTCTACAACTCGACAGCTTTTTCCACCACAAAACACCATCTTCCATCATCGCCATTACGTGTTTTGCACTTCTTGCACCAGCGCATGTCAAGCATCCGTTAGTCAATGATCAGAAATACTTTGATGATCTTCTGTAACCCATTTTATAAAAATAGCCCAACAGGCGGTCTGGGATGGGATTGATTTATTAATCTAATCAGACCGATGTAGGACAGTAGATGCATTTGCCCTCCTCTCTGAATCAGCTTGGGTAGCACTTGAGGTCATCGTCAAGAAAGATTAGACAATCACTTCAGACAATCTGCTGTAATTTTCCATCTTCATTTATAATCTCTACAATCAGAGGCAGAGCAGGGAAAACCGCCTCAGCTTTGATGGATTTGTCCTTTTATTTCCCCACACAAATGTACCACATCCTCCGAAAAATGTCTCTGTAATCTTATTTTGCTGATACAATATTGATTTTTTGTATTTTAAACAAACAATCTTATCATGAAAGACATGAACTATGATTTTCTCCCCGCACAGATTAGGTCTTAACATGGGTCCCACTGGATGCTGAGGCACTAACAGGCTCTCATCCATGCTTGGCATATAAAGTGAAGCCATGTGGTGGATGTGCAAGGCAGCAACTCCAAACCAGTGACTCGAAGAGGAATAACATTGGGTCAAAATATGGAAGCTCTAAAGACCATATGAGATTGTCAGCATCTTGTGGCAATCAAAAAACATTACAACTGTTATTCAGCGACTAAATGATTAGCAGCGTTTAACCTTAACATCTGATATGATACAGCCGCAGTCATGTTAGATGAGGAATGATGACAGACACACATTATGTGTAAAAATCTAATGGAAGTAATGTTCTGGTGTATTCTTCTCTTTTGTATTTCCACAGCTTAAGAGGGAACCTTATTTGTTGTCTCAGGTCAAAAATAGCACCAAAACAGGAGCGTTTTGTAGAAGAGCTCCTGGAGATTGATGATTGATTACTACACAATTACTGCTGAAAGCAGCAGGGCCCCTCCTCCTAATCACTGATTGTGTTGCTAAAAGGAGATTATCACACAGGAAAAGCTTGTTTGAGGCACTTCCGCCGGCAGATCAATCAAAAATATTCAAGAGATTGCCAGCATATCAGACCTTTCTCGGCTCTGCACATTTAGCACAGGTGCTGTGCATTACTCTGTTTGGGAGTATGCCTCGGATGGCAGAAGATTTGACCCCTACTGAGATACTAGCCTCAAACCATATCTAATTAAAGTTGATTTTCAAAGCCGACGCTGTGGAACTTCAGGTCCCCTCAACAATTAAGCTCTGGATTTTTCCTTTGGTCTCGAGCAAGAAGAAAAGGCACATCCACAGGGTTGATTATCCCCCTTGCTTCCCCCCAGTCTGCCTCTACCTATTATTGGATTCACTTAGTTGATGGAACCCCATATGTTGAGCTGAAGGAGACGGGTTGACCGGAGTCACAGTGGAGAAATAGCATGGCAAATGTATAGTATCGTATTTGAAGTCTAGGCACGAAACTCTAAAGAGTTTTTTGTCATGATGGTCTAATGGAAACAGGTTAGAGAGACAATCACATAACCACCAGGGGTGTTCTATTCTTGCTGCGATGTTCTTAAGAGTTGTACTGCATAGGAGCAACAGGGGGAAATGTGAACATTTGTTGAATACAACTGCAATATATTGGGGGGGGGGGACATCCCGCCCAATATTCAGATACGCTCAAAATGTCCCCCCCCCCCAATATATAGCCTAACTGATATAAAAAAATTAAAATAAAATTGCTATGCTATGACTTTTTTATATGGGCTATTTGTATACTTGAACATCTTTATTTTCCGTTATTGTGAACTTCACCAAAATGATATATTCTTTTCACATGTAAATTGGTTCCGCCTTTGTTTGTTTATGCATACCTTTATTTTGTACCCGGGGGGTGTAATTCGCTGTCGCACGTCCGAGTCCAGCTTCAGTTCTGGTATCTTTTTCTAGTTAGCCCTAAACTATATTATTTTTATTTCGTATGGTAATGTTACAGAACCCTGCGGTTTAGCTTCTTTGTGTAAATAACTTGTAGTTCTGATGTTAAAACCGAACTTTTCAGGAATAGTAGCTAACTAGCTGCAGGAATAGTAGCTAGGGGAGTGATTTGTAAAATATGCATAAAGAAAAAGTCAATCTGTTTACAGTTCTGTTTGATATTGAGAGATGTATCCATAGATCTCTTAATGTTGCTCTCAAAGTGCACCAGATTGATGCATTTAACTTCAACATTTAAAAAAAAATCTTCCCGGAGGAGCATGCCCCCGGACCCCCCTAGAGGAGGTGAGGTCCACCACCTGTCCACACATTGAGGATACTTCCTACGCCCATGCCCGAGGCACAGTTTCGTGAATATTGTTGTTTTTTGCCCCCATGGGCGGGGGCATGGGGTTTAACAGGTTTTAAAGTATCCCATGTGTATGTAGTGAATTTTTATATATTTGCCTTTAGAATGGCAGGAAATTAGTATTCAAATTTTGATCACATTTTTGGTCGCCCCCAATGTTGACTCCATGGTTACGGCCTTGCCTAAACAGCTTGTTGGAGCTCCTGCGCCCCCCCCCCGTGAGCCCAGTGTGCTCTGTTTGGTCGGGACGTTGCGAGGCTCGTTGCTGCGATCTGCTGCGAGGAGCAGACAGGCTTCCGGGTCGGCGATACCGCGAGAACAAGCAAAACTCATCCTGAGCATACACAAACACTCACAGCCGAAGTAAAAACAATAAGTGTGGCTTGATATTGAGTAAGAAAAAGGTTTATAACGCTGTGTGAATGGGTCTGCGGAGAGCATTTCTCCGAGATCCCAACTTAGCAGCCCGAAAAACGTTTACCCATTTAAACAGTCGTGGTAGATACCTTGTTTGTTTTAAACATCATAAATACACAAACAACAATGAATACTTACAGGTTGTGTACCTGAATCTCCCGCTGGTCCAAACAAAGTAGGAACAGCATCGCTCTTCAGTGCCCTACGCTTTACATATCCGGCATGAACAGCTGAAAGGTTTGTGAAGCTTTGTTTCGTGAAATGCTGGCAGAGGGTGTGGCCTCTGGGTATTCACATGTCACAGTACCCAGGAAGTAAACAATGGAAAATGAGAAATCTCCAATGAGGCGTTTTGGGGCAGCATAGTCTGTGTTAGTTTTACTCGCTACAGGGTGTACTTTGAGGGTTTTGGACTCTGCAGACCGTTTACATGCATAAAAACCTTCATAACACACAAGGGGACGGGTAATAACCGGAAAAGCATGACATGGGCCCTTTAAAACATAACATATCAAAATGTCCGTTTGCAATAACCCGCAAAAAACAATGAACTACGACTTACTGCTGTAATACACAACTTGATAATTTAGCAATCTACATGTGGTAGGTGGTAGCTTCACACGACACACTCTTCATTTAGCTGGTAAAACTAACATAACAAACACACGTAAATCTTATATCTGCATTGTTACATTTACACGTTCATTATACATCTGTGTCATTATTTTCACACGTTTTAACCACTTTTACTCAGTGAATACAGTAACACTGCAACGTAGCCTCATTTTGTGGGCTCGGTCTTGAGTGAATCGTCTGCCGATTCTGCGTCTCACCTGTAGGACCCCTGAGCTGCCCCAAGTGCCTGTGTGAGCTTTTCATTGTAACCAAATAAATATTATAGTTGCTATTGTGTGTGAAAACATACCAGAAGATTAATTAAATCAAATTCAACAAAATACAAAAGTGCCGATAGCAAAACAATACAGTTTCCATGTCAATTAAGATTCCAGTGTCAATATCTAGGCCCAACACCTGAGTAAGGTGAAACTAAACTAAGGTTGCAGACAAATAGTCAAAAAAAAATCATGTTCTATTTATTTTCTAAACACTATTCCTTAACCTCATGGGGTTAATTTATTAGGACTTAGTAAAAGACAACTGCTAAGAGAAGACTTTCGTACATACAATACAGCGTCTACAGACCCTATGATTAATTTGGAGAAAAACAAAACATCATTTGAAACCAATAGTTTTAGAAATATTTGTAGTTGAACTGAATAAAATAGGGAATAATAGAGCGCGTAATGGTTTTGAGTCTCTGGGGATACAATATATTTGTACACGGATAACTACTGTTTCTGAGCTTAAATTAGTCCTACTATTATAGTACTGCTATATAGGCTACTGGCGTCTCGAATTGTGCAGCCTCCCTGGTGGGAAGCTCTGGAACCTTTGATTGAACCTTTGAGAGCCACAGTGACCCACAGTAAGCCACAGATAAGGTCTCCATTAGGGCTGTTATTTTAAAGCATCTCACCCGTTAATGGATTCCCCTGGCCCAGCTGCAGACCCACTATCTTATCCTCCCAGGCCCAGTTAACAAGCCTGGGTTTAGCTTCCTACAGGTGTGAGACAGGGCCCCTGCTGAGAGTGTGGAGAGACACTCGTGTGTTGTCGGCTCCACAGCAACTATTAATATACCTCTGCAATGGCTACCTTGGTGAGCATTACAAACGTTTATTGAAAAGCATTAGTGAGGTGGCAAAAAAACAGAAAACAATGAACACTTTATATAATGAGTTATTATGATAATAACACTTCTCTGTTGTGAAAAAAATGCTTCTATATATTTACCATAAACCAAACAAATGACATAATATTATATTATAGTATATACTTACTTTTATGTAGTGTTTATATTTGATTAAATATTAAAAGTCGTCATTTTAAGAAACAAGTTAGCTCTGCTTAAAGACCGGAATGTGTTGTTTCACACTTGGTTTTAGGTTTTAGTACAGGTTAGAAAGAAAAAATATAACCTTTGCAATATCAATTTTTTCACAGCATGGATTTTAACAGAGGCAAGGTGTTACAGCTGTTGCCCATCTTTATGCTTAACTAAGCTAATCAGTTGTGGCTTGTAATTTGACATTGTAGGTACAGTAGGCCTACAGACATGTTAGTTCCCGGCAAGAATGTTTTTTCTCTAAATGTCAAAATGTGCCTTCAATCAATCATCCATGGAGAGAAATTAATCAACACATAAAGTCATTTACCAAGCAACAATAACAAATATTAGTCTGAATATGCGTGCCTTTTTCTTTTTGGCCTTTATTATTTGTTAAATATTAGGGTTTTGGACTTTTTAGTTTAGAGAAGGAGGCTTGCATTGGCACCAGCAGGCTTTCCCCTCAATTTAAATGTCCACTTCATTAACAATACTCAACTAAACATTATAGTATTAAATGGAAATTGGAGTCCTTTTCTGCCTTTTTGCATCTGATATTTCAGATCTTTTATTACAGAAAGGTGCTATTATTTCCCTTCAAATACCTCTCACTGACATAAAAAAAAAACACCTTATTGACCTGTCAATTGCAAAAGCTTGAAAGACCTATAGCAACAGTAACCAAGAAGGGCGGCAGTGTCCTGCATTCAAGAGAATTATGCCTCTTACATTTGAACAAAGCCAGAGTATGAAAGGTCATGCCTTCCTCAATAACATGTACATTATAATGTCTCAGAAGAACCTTCATTAGCTGGCAATGGCCAGTACCTTTACAAATACTGAACAAAAGGGGAAGGTAGCATCTTATACAATGTAGTTGTTTTGTATGCTACTATTAAGGTTAACCATGGAGGAGAGGCTGCAATTAATAACCTATAAAAAACCCCACACTCAAAACTGGTAATGAGATTTACGGGGTCTTAAAAGCTTCAAGAACAAGGTTTATTAAACAACTCATGTATTTAGTGAGACGTGCCTGCTTGAAACTGATATTAATGAAAAAATCTATGTTAAGTCTTTTTTTACAAAAAGGCAAAATGTACAAACAGGTAACATCACTTTGCAACCAGTACATTGAAACAATACAGTCCTATTTTAACACCATGCACTTTGAGATAATGAAAAACAATAAATGTATCCGTGTAATCTAAAAGAGTTGATTGAATTTTAGTCTAGATGCCAAGCAGGTACTTGGCAAAGACTCAGTATTCGAACAGCATTGATAGTATTTCCCCATTAGGTGACCCCTCATGTCCGTTTGCCTGACGCCCTTCAGGTGGTCTGAGGATTTGGCTTTGGTAGTCCGACCATTATTTCCAAAACACACCGCAATTTCGATAGGTAAGCACTGTTTTTTTATTACCATACTCCAAATAAAGCACAGCAATACCTTGTGATCTTTGAACCATTCAATTTTTTTTTCTCAGAGGAGTGTTCAAGTTTAACCGTATCTTAGAAAAATAATTGGTTCTGTATGTACAACAACAACAACAACAATGGTGATAGAAACATGTTAACAGTATTATACAATAGCATTTGTTGCCTGATCCTTATCAAAAATGTAGTGAAAAACTACATTTGCACATTTTAAACGTTTTGACTATACTTTTACTAAATTATTGATCGAGCATTAATATGAAGGTGACGTATTCATGAGATATGACAGTTATTTAATATCAATTTTTGCAAGAAATTAAGAAAAATATTTGACATTCTTTTTGTTTAATCACCAAAGTAAATCAAATGTTTTCTGAAACAAATGATCCAATAACTGAAACAACTTTCTAAAGGCACACGCAACTATCCTGCTCCAAGACATCATGATTCCTCAGGATTTTGGGAGCAGGAATCTGAAAACTTTAGTAATGACATTCCCAGATAGCTGTGATAACACAGAGTCGTTACAGTGTTTCAGAACTCAGTCGTTACCATTTAGGGGAAATTTACATTCAGTCAAAAAACAATTATGTATATCCTACTCATAGCAGAGTCTCTAATACTGTACTCTTAATTAATGTACTTCGAACCAACCCAAAGTGCTGCTTCACATCTTCATATTGTGGTTCCCATTTCACTTAAATTGAACCTTTTGATTAACCTGGGAGGATGTTATAGCTACACTTGTGTTGCATTCTCTTAAATTTAAGACGGTTTAAAAATCTTAAGCTTAATAATTTTTGTAATTTTAAGAGATTCACCTAAGGTATTTTGATCTGACTCTTACTGCCTGTTTTATACTATGTTGCCAGATGTCATGTAATGTAATGGAAAAAAAGGTTTTTCTTATCTTATAGGAAACACCAAAAAAGGCTCCGATATCAGCTAATCACCCATATGTTATTATACGCCTATTTGACAGCTTATAAGAGGAAATCGGGGTATGAAATTCAAAAGATATGTTTGAGGTATTTTAGTAATGCACACTAGAGAGCACTGATAAGTAAACCTTGTTTGTTTAGTAGATAACCTAATTTAAGGATGCTGAAAAAACGTTTTTTTCATTAGTTTAAAGTCAAACTAAAATAATACTGTTTTTAAATGTATCCTTTGTGTTCGTTTGACTTTTAACTTCTTTGAAAAAAACAATTATGAAGTTCCTCACACCCATGGATGCTGAAGGTGTGATACCGGCCCTCAAATGTCAGTGCCCAGCTGTCGTGGGACACACCCGTCCAGAGCCTGCAAGCTACGCAATATTTCTACAAATGTATGTCCCCAGAATATTTACCTCTTTTTATAAAATGAAAAAATATACACAAAAGCTGTAGTATCCTTATATAGTTATATGATGTAATGTCCTTGCATCACGATGAGAATTCAAATTTCAGCTCGACTTTAAAACCAAATATTAATGCACAACGGCATTATTGGATTCTTTAACCCTCAAATATCAAGATAGGTTTCAACTCCTCAAATCCAGTATTGGTCCCGGCTCTATAAACCACATCACGTTCTGTTATTGAATGTACCTCAGACACTGATATGAAGAGAGAATGAGCAGCAGTCATGGAAACAGTCTTGAACAAAGCACAAGGAAGGTCATTTCATTTACAGTGCATCAGAGAGACGTGCCTTGCTAGATTCTTGTTTTAAATGCTTTTCTATTTCTGTTTTGGTCCAACAGCTAAGCTAAGTCTGAGCAGCACAGTGGACCCAAGGCTAGCAGCTGTCTTGACACAGTGTGAGTGCTTTGACGCAAATGTTCTCCATGCACAGACCTCACACAGCTTTTCTCCCGGCTTGGACCTGATGAGGTCTCCAAAGTCGTGGCTCGTCATGTCGCCTTACCGGCAGGTGCAGCTTCTCTGACACCTGCGGCTAGCTGTGAAAGGAAACGACCCCATAATGGAAGATAAGCCGCTGATGCCTGGATCTCTGTATTTGTTTATACAGGAAGAGGCGTATGTTGTGTTGTGGTAGGAGCCACCTGGCGGGGGTGAGGAGAGCCATGGCTGGTTAGGATAAGGGCAGAGCAGCAGGGGGGGGAAGGTGAGACAGGGGTCAGACACTCAGGGTCATGTTTCGGAGCAGCCACTGCTGAGAGCGGCTGCCGTTGCAGTCTTTCAGGGTGGGGACCATCTTGTCCTCCTCTGACGGCATGTCCAAACACTGGTTGCTGTTCACGTGCAGCAGGGTGAGTAGCTGGAGAGGGAAAGAGGGAGATGTGTCAACACGTTAGCGTAGGTACATGAACAAATACTTTCAGTTTTTACATTTTTCTGTCATTTCCCCTCAACCTGGAGAAGGTGGAAACTGCCTGGATGTTTAAGAGGAACCTTCTAAGACACACTTCCAAATATTGATTTCCCGTATTTTACAAAAACATTATTTTACCCAAGCAAATGGCCTGAGCTGACACTCTAGGACTGCAGCTGGGGCAAGAAAAAAGCCATAGGCACAATAAGAGAGCAGGACGTTCTGGTCGAGTTAAAGTGAGAGTCGTGCCCATTGTTCAACACAACATGCACTGAGGCTGCTTGGAGGATTGGGGCTCCTGTCAGTTGTGAGGCTGTGTCACAGCCACTTTACAGGAAAGATTTCTCTGTGAATCACTGTTGAGCATCAGAAAATGTCAAAAAAGGCACTAGCTGCAGAGACTAGCTGCATTACATGGACCTGATGGATATGTCAAATGCGTTGTAGTAAAATGGCATAGCAGTTTCCTATAGATTTTGGCTTGGCGTGTTAGTTTGGAGTTGGCAGGTTAAATGTTGGATGAAAAGCAAGCAGAGATTGGACTCAGGGGGGCAGTCTGTGTGTGGGACAGAAGACTACAGTAGGAGGAGGCCTATGTCCAAGTAGCTTAAAATATTAGCCTCAAGACTAATTTATAGATATTTTCTATTATTAACTCTGCAACAACTTATGCGTTGGCCACTTTGAGGCAGCACTAATATTTATTTTAAGTCGATGACAAACAAGTTAGCAAAGAGATGAAAGACACTATAATTCTCTACAGAGGTGAAGTGAAGTACAGCCTCGGGTGCTTTTAAGCATTCTGATCATGAAAACAACCAAAATAATTTACTTTATGTGCTTCTGTGGGAAACAAAAAGTTATTAAAAGTGACACCATTATTGGTAAAAGTAATAATGTCAGATTAGGTACATTTGGAAATTGCTAGTATTTGTAATTACCAAACGGAAAGTATGGGCAGTCATTTCTTTTTGCATAAGGCAAGATACATTGTTCATTTACTGTTCAAAAATGTAAAATGAGATAACAATCAAAACAGGCACCCTTTAATACTCAACCCCCATTGGGATATAATATATATTTTCTTTATGTCATTAATAACACCTCTGGATGAGCGACAGATAAACTCATTGTCTTATTGTTAGAGCAATATTACTAACTAGAGAATGCAATTTCTGAAGAAATTGCTAGTGAGAATGCTTTATGCTGAAGCTAAACTGCTATGCTGAAATGTAAGGTGTAAGAAGAAAGTGAAGAATTTAGATTGAATGATACATGAACACTCAGGGCTTGAATGTGTGATGAGAGAAGAAAAGAAAGTAAAAAGGCTTGGAAAAGCAGCAGAATATTTGAACTGCAAACTTTTGAACTAACTTGATGGTGAATGATCTGTCGCCATGCCAACGGCATTTGATGACATCCCATAATACGCTTAGATGCGTTGTTGGCTGCATCATTACCAGACCTGTGAAGTTTTGGGCCATTTGGAGCATTCAGGTTCAGGTTCAGGTTATTTATTTGTACCCGTAGGTAGATTCTGTTCGCAGAGAAAAAGACAAGGGTTCCATCCTGACACTAAAAAAAACACAAACAACAGACACATCTCTAATAAAGGACTAGTAAAAGTACACCCTGCTCAACCAAATCTCAAAATATTTAAAAAACATTTTAAGAAGGAAAACACTAGTACAAACATGGACATTCAAAATTCAAAATTAAATAAATAAATAAAAATAGGCATCTGTGTGATGCTCCTATGATGTGTTAATTTGTGCAATAGCTGCTGGGATAAAACTGTTTTTATACCGCTTCGTTCTACTCCTTGGGACAAGTAACCTCCGGCCCGAAGGAAGAAGCTTCTGAGACTGCCAAGGCACACGAGTCATCGTCTAATATGGAGCTGGATAACCGCTGTAACTGCCTGAGGTACAGGGTCTCCAGGTTTAGCTGTGGTTCACCTATCAGTCTGCTGGACCACTTTATGATCTGACTCAGAGAGTTTCTGCTCTTTAAAAGTCAGGTTACCAAACCATGACATTAGTGAAAAAGACAGAATTGACTCGATAAAAGCACGATAAAACATAATCATCATGGTTTTGTCAATGTTAAAATAGGACAATTTCCTAAGACAGTACAAGCGCTGGTGTCCCCTTTTGCACACAGCTTCATAGTTTGGATCAGAGCTCAATTTTGAGTCAATAATTTTCACTGAAGTTATGAGAAAACCGTGTTGCATGGCGAGCATTGTGTTGCCATGGCAACGGCATTTGAAGAAATCTCAAAACTCTACCGTAGATGTCTTCACGGCTGGACTGTTAGCACACATGTGAAGTTTGAGCACTTTTTGAACATTTTCATAGGAGTTATAGCGACATCGTCTTTTATGGCGAGGGATTTCCATGGAAATGGCATATGATGAAACCCCATAATTGACGTAGAGCTGTTGAGGGCTGGACCGTTAACCATTATCTGAAGTGTGGTGCTGTTT